CCAATGGCATCCTGGGGTGTATTAGACGGGAGGTGGCCAGTAGGTTGAGAGAGGTTTTCCTCCTCCGCTACTCTGCCCTGGTGAGGCCACATCTAGAATATTGTGTCCAGTTCTGGGCCCCTCAGCTCAAGGACAGGGAACTGCTTGAGAGAGTCCAGCGCAGAGCCACAGAGATGATGGAGTGGAACATCTCCCTTATGAGGAAAGGCTGAAGGAGCTGCGTCTCCTTAGTTTGGAGAAGAGGAGGCTGAGGGGTGACCTTATAAATGTTTATAAATATGTAAAGGGGGAGTGTCAGGAGGACGGAGCCAGGCTCTTCTCATTGATGTCCCATGATAGGACAAAGGACAATGGGTGCAAGCCGGAGCATAGGAGGTTCCACATAACCACTAGAAGGAACTTTTTCCCTGTGAGGGTGACAGAGCCCTGGCACAGGCTGTCCAGAGAGGCTGTGGAGTCTCCTCTGGAGACTTTAAAAACCTACCTAGACGCGTTTCTCTGTGACCTACTCTAGGTGATCCTGCTTTGGCAGAGGGGTTGGACTAGATGATCTTTCAAGGTCCCTTCCAATCCCTGACATTCTGTGATTTCCTTCTTTACCGGGGGTGCAGATTTACCAACAAGCAAGATTCGTATTTGACTGAAGTCTTGTCCATAGGGAACCCCATTTAGTGCTCTCTGCTTGGTCTATACTTAAACATCTTGAAACCAGCCAGCTTCTAAGGACTTGATCAAACCCATCAAACTCAATGAGAAACTTCCTGTTGTTTCATCGAGGGCTTAGTTTTAGTAGAGTTCCTACCTGGTCTGTGGCCTTTTCCTGGGAGAGCAGAAACACAACCGAGTGAGTTATGATGGTATTGATGCCAAAGAACAAGTTGACGCAGACATAAACGATGAAGGCCATTCCTGTTTCTTTGAAAACCCCAGCCAGCAGGTACATCCATGAAAACGTTGCATATCTATAAATTGCCAACAGTGCAGAGAACACCACAGTAATTCGAAGAGTCATTGAAAACAAACTGAAAATCTCAGACAATATAACAGTATTGTTTTGGCATGTGACCACATTTTCATACTATAAGAGCTTAAAGAAGGAAAAATGGCTTTGTATCTGTTAGAATTTGGAGAAGAAGTTTATGACACACCTTTTGAACATGGAGACCTGACTGAAAGCAGACGGGCTAGGCCTGGAAAATTCAAAGCCAGGGAGACAGTTTTACTAAGTTTTCCTGAATTCTGCTGCTGCTGTTTGAGGGGTTTTTTTCCCCTCTCTGATTCTGAAGTGCTTTGAAATCTTGAACTTCACAATAGTTCAGTAAGCATCTTCTTACAACTTGGGCTGTCACTGTGACCTTGAATATTTCATACCCTTGTGTAAAGTTTGCTTAAATAACTAAGCCCCACACTTACCCAAACAGTAACAGCAGAAGAAATACTGCCAGTAAGTTACTGTTGTTGCAGAAAGCTGGTATCTGGAAGGATGAAATAACTCCTATTGAGAGTCCAATAGGGACCATAAAAAGTACCTGCAAAATCATATTAAAAAGCTGTTATTAGGACAATAATTCTTAAACATTTTTCTAGAACTATGCAGAAGCAACAATGCCAGGTTTGAATCTGTGCCCACAAGTGCAGCTTGGGTTTTCTAAGGGAAACCAAACACAGGTTTCAGTCCTCTTGAGACTTCTGTGAGTCTGGCAAATGAATTCCCACAAAACCGCTTTAATAGGCTGAGCTCCAAAACTCAGGAACTGTGGGCAGAAAGTGCCTTAAAAAACAGTTGTGAATGAAAAATTGCCCTCTGGGTTTTCTGTTAGCCTTGCAGTCTGACCACTTCATTGTGCCCTGTAAATCTGGTCTTGCTAATGTTGAGTCAAGCCAGGGATCTCCCAAATGTCTGCCTCGAGGGGTTCCTCTCTTCCCCAGCTTTGGGATTTAACAGAATTTACTGGCAGAGATACACTGAGAAATATCAAGTTGCCGAGAGCGCTGGATTAGTTTCAGCCCGCTGAATACTGATTGTGGCAAGGACTCTGGGGATTCTTCCACAGGCTGATTTACAAATATGCAGTGCCTGGAGCGAGGGCCTGGATCAGGCAAGCAGGCACAAGCCTGTCCCATCCTCGCTGCAACGTGGGGCTGCTCTGCCAAGCCAGACTGCAGCCACACTGCCTGCAGACCCCTCCTGCAAGGCAGAAGATCCTTATGTTGCTGCTTAATCACATCAGCCCCTATAAGTAGGCAGTTCGGACTACTTACTGGTGAAAACAGTATTGTTAGGACTGCTTTGGCAGCATGCATCAGGGTTACCAAAACACCCAGAAGTTGAGGCTGTGCTCTGCAGAAAGTGCGGAAGCTCGCATTCCCTGGGGGATTTGAGCCCTCTCTGCATCAAGAGGGGCCACACAAATGCCCTTGAAGATTTCATGTGTTCAGGAATAGATGGTATCACTGGGATTTTAGGCACTAGCCAAATTCCATCAGTAGAAGTTTGCTGGAAACGTAGAGCTGATCTCCGTTACAGCATAGCTGGCAACGCCAAAGCTCACGAGCAGACATAGTCTGCGCTCGCAGATCTCTAACTGTGTGAGGGTTTCACACTTTGCCCTGAAAGTAATTCAGAAGGCGCAAAACACTTCAGTCTACAGACACGGTGCATATTTACCCTCTTACTCTCCAGCAGTGCTATGAACCCTCTTCACCATGAGGAAACTTCAGGGAGAACGAGGGCAGGCCTATGGCCAGCACTGCGGCACGGCGCTGGGGAGCTCAGCCATCCATAGGAACAAGGTGGTGAAGCTGTACAGCGCAGTGCAGCACTGCAGAAAGGAACTTGCTCACGCCCTCAAAGGCATAGAGCTGTATTAGCAGCTTTCCTTGGCTTAAAAACCTTTAGAGTATATAGAAAGCATTCAACCCAGCAATGGATTTTTGCCCAACAGGGGAGGGTCAGCTCTGAGCTGTCGGCTAATGTCACACCCTCTACTCCCAGGGTTTCTGAAATGGTTGTAGCCTCAAGCCCCAAAGCTTTACCCCAGACGCATGACAACTAATCTAGCTCTGCAAGCTAACAGAAAAACAGGTTGCTGCTTGCATATTAAAATGGAAGCCAAGCTCTGGCCTGTTCCATGTTGCTCTCATATAAATGTGCTGAGTGTTTTGCATACACTCGAGAGAGAAGGAATGCCTTCGCTTAGCAAAATTCAGTGTTGCGGTTCACATCTAATAGTCTTCAATGCCTTAGAGAACAATTACTACACAATACTCTTGGTAGTAATAATATTAAGAAGTATATGCAACCAACTTTAAATAAAGAACTTCTCTCCCCCCCACTCCCGCTGTGTAATGCTACTCTCAGTGCATTTAGGAATGTGAATTATTTACCAGATCATAAACGAAGTTAGTCACCCAATAGCTTGTCATCCCAATGCCTGAAATATGCTGCAGTTGTTTGGCTTTCGTTTGATGTTCTTTTACCACGTAGAGCACAAAGCTCGCCGTTGTGATAGAGTAGCCAACCAAAACAGACATTGAAACTATGATGTCGAGTAAGCTGTTGAGCCTGGGGAGAAAAGTGGAGAAATATGTGAGTCAAAGTGTGGATTTCCCTCACTGCAGAGGCATTGTTTAGAGCTCAGAAACAAATAGGTCCCGATTCTGTGCCAGCGTCTTTCGCTGGTATTAATTACACCTAGCAAAAAGGACCCACAGCACTGAGTTATAACGTCGTACCATAGCATTGATTGGAAAGGCCAAAGGGAAAAGTTGTTGTGTTGTTATTATTATTATTATGCCAAAGCACAAAAATTTGTGATACTATAACTGTGATCTCCAGTTCTATATGGGATCCCATGAAGAAACCCTAACAGGAATCTGCAGCTCTGTTGCACGCAGAGAGGGAACGAAGACAAAGAAGAGAGCAGTTTCATCATTAAGAGAAAAATATTCAGTAATTTAGGCTGCTTTATGGTTTCCAAGAAGCTGGTTCGCTCCTTTTGAAGCTAAACAATTCGGGCATCAGCCAAACGAATCTTCTTACATTACTTGTTCTTGACTCTGTCCTCCAGGGTATGGGTGAGCTGATAAGAAAATACCTACAAAAACAAAAAGAAAAGAAAAGAAACTGAAAATGTAGCTAACTTAAAAGCTTCCTTCACCAGTTCCCGAGATTGAGAATAATACAAAAAACTATGAGTAGCAAATAAAAGCAGATCGAAAGCTGAGTTTTGTTCTGTCATCTTGGCGTGATCTTGGGCAGAATTTTGAGCACCCCCTTTTTTCCTATGACTTCATTTTGATGCACAGCAGATCTGAAATTCAAACCCTAAGCCTTGTTTCTGCACCTATGTGGCTGGTAGCATCATTCACTTTAGTGAGAGTACTCCCACACCTAAAATTAGGCACATGCTTGTGGGTCCGTTTATTTTATGTTGGATTCCTCAACATGCACACATTCAAAACTGATGAATATGTTTCATTTTAAAGCTGCTGTTTGATGATCTCAATTTCATTTGTTCTTTTATCCTCAGACACAAATCATTCCCTATTGGCTTTCTCCATAACAATTATCTTCCTAGGATACACGTCTTTCTCAAATATGGGCATCTGTTGAGATTCTGCATAAACTCAAGTAAGCTACAGACACTTTTGTTCCCAGTTAATTCTGAACTACTCTGTTGAATACAGCTAGAAGAAAAAAAATCATTTTGTCCAGAGGAACTAACAAAAATCTAGTCACTGCATTTGTAAGCCCAGCATGACGTCTTCCAAAAAGATCCCTTAGAAATGGGTTTGTATCAGGCACAAGCAGCAAGCGATAAACTTCATAAGATTTAGTTTAAGTACTTACCTAGCTCAAATACACTAGTATTGTTCATCACAGTGCATTAGCTTTGTTCATAGGCAATTTTTGCCTACAAAACCAGAGTTTTCTAACAAAGGGAGGAACTTGGGAAGCTCTAGTGGGCCAGTTCCAACCTCCAGTGAATGTCTCTCTGCCTTGGTCCCACCAAGATGACAGCCCAGTGTCTGAGACTAGCACCAGAGGAAGGCTTTAGGCTGAAATGGATACGTGCTTAAAAACCAAGATTCTCAATCCATGTTTAGGTACCTAAGCAAATGCCTCGGTTCTCAGGGAGTGCTGGAGGACCTCCAGCTGCTGTTAAATCCAGAGAGATTTGCTAGAACATGCCACCTTTGAAATTTAAGCTCCTTACTGCCAGGTGCCCAACTTTAAGCAGTTACATGAGAAAAAATGATTCTGGGCTATTTCCCCTAAGAATGAGCACCCTGACGCTGGGACCAGAAAGGAGGAGACTGTGGGTTTAGCTGACCAAACGCCAGACTGAGCAAAGAAATTTGAAAGGAAAGGTTTCACAGGAAATTCACATCAGAGGGAAAAAAACCAAAAACCTGTTCAATCTTGTCATCAGTGAGAGAAACAGAATTGAAAACTTGGACTGCTGATAAGCCACACAAACATGGAAATCCTTCCCTTCCCTAAGAGAGAGAGAGAGAGAGAAAGAGAGGAAGAAAGACACCGCCTGTCTAATCTGTTAATACTTCACTATAAAGCTATTTTCCTTTACTGAAGCTTAGGCTAGAAGTCTAAATTTCCATTTCAATGCTTTCTCTTTTTTGTTGGTTGGGATTGAGAGAAGAGAAAGCATAATATACATAAGTCAAAAGCTATTATGACTTGCTTAGTGACAGGGTAAAAAGCTTTTTATGGGTTTGGGGTTTTTCAATATACGCAGTCTAAGGCAAACCGCTAAAGCAGGACTGGCACCTCTTTCAAACCGCTGAAATGACATCAGACTTTTATCTGGCCATTTCAATGGTTCTTAAACTGTCATTTATTTGTCACAGCAACAAATAGATTTAGCTGCCAGGAACATACCACACAGAACGTCTGTTCAATTGTATTTCAGTCTGGATTTACACTACCCCAGGGGAGCCATCCTCACCCATTCATTTTATTGCCCCCATTCTATGGCTTGGATCATTAGTGGGAAGCAGAGAATTATCTGTCTGGTCATTTACTACTAAGCATTTCTTTCCAAAAACCACATAAGCAGCAGGACAGATGGAATAAAAACTGCTGCTGTTCTTTCCCACTGAAAATTGTAATTTTGCTAGTATAAAACTTTCCCTGTGAAAACTTTCTGACTGTTCACACAAGCTTTTCTGCCTTTGCTCTTGCTACAGCACGTGTTGGGAATACAGAGACAGGGCAAGAAGCTTCACTGCTTAATAATTCAGCTGCTCTGGGATGTTCCTGCTGCTGGAAGTGCCTGGCTCAGGTCTCCTCTCTCTGCACGCGGGCAGGGGCCACAGCTCTGCGATACGCTCTTGCAGCACACACCGAAGAGCTCAAACCTTCTGACCTGGAGGGCATGCTGCAAACCTCAAAGGCAGGAGCCAGCCAGCGGGTATTTTAGGCTGTCAGCGGGGACGAGGCGCTGGTTTCGCTCGTTGTGAGCAGAGGTTGTTGGGGGGGTGTCTCAGTGCATCGGTATGTGGAGGTGGGGAGAGAGACATGTCGTCTTGACTTGCAGTCAGCATTCTCCTGTTTCTTTAATTCATGCCGTGACACTCAATGCTTCAGACCAGACGCCTTTTCCATTGCAGTTCAATTCAGACACATCAGTGAGGAACAGCCTTATAAGCAGAGAGGCTGTCACCTATTTCACTGTCACCTGGAGCAGCAAGCCTCCGAGGTGAGGGGAGCCAGGCACGGCCAGGACATGGCTGGAAGGGCACCATTTGTCCAAGAAAATCAGTCAGTGGGTGATTTCGGCACACAATTGGCTACTCTTGTCAGATCCCATAAATTTCTGTATAAGATTTCTCAAAATGGCATCAACATAAATCTTCCTCTTCTCCCTGCACCCCCTCCATCTCTAGAGAGAAGCACGCAGACCCGTTTGTGCCCACGCTGCACCCTTCGCACAGGACAAACCATGAGCGGCAAGGTAGGGTCGCACCTGT